CCCCTGTCCGGAGCGGCCGCCCCAAGCACCTGCTTGCCAGGCTGGTACCTGGAGCCGGCCCTGATTACAACAGTAACCATGCATGGGGTCATACTCATACCCTGTGTACATTATGTGTACATAATTTTATACAGGGTGTAAGTTTGCATCATAAATAAACTAATACAGATGCTGTTTTGTGAAAGTAAGCTTTGTCTTCTATTTCTTCAAACATACGTGGTCACCTATCCACTCAGTGATGCACCTTTGTAAGACAGGCACCTTGTCCCTCTAGGGCAGTGGTTTTCAAACGTTTTTTCTGGCGACCCAGTTAAAGGAAATTGTTGATGCCCATGACCCAATAGAGCTGGGGATGAAGGGTGTGGGAGGGGCTCAGGGCTAGGGCAGAGGGTTTGGGTGAGGGCTGCGGGATGGGGCCCGGAATAAGAGGTTCAGGGTGTAGGAGGGGGCTTAGGACAGGGGGTTGGGGTCCAAGAGGGAATCAGGGCTCTGGGCTGGGAGTGCAGGCTCTGGGGTGGGGCCGAGGATGAGGGGTTTGGGGGGGCTGGGGCAGGGAATTGGGGCTTACCTCGGGTGGCTCCTGGTCAGTGGCGCAGCGGGGGTGCTTAGGCAGGCTTCCTGCCTCTCCTGACCGGAAGCGGCCAGCAGCAGGTCCAGCTCCTAGGCGGAGGTGCGCAAGTGGCTCCACGCGGCTCTCACCCGCAGCACCGCTCCCCCCGCCCCCAGCTCCCATTGGCCAGGAGTGTGGAGCTGGTGCTCGGGGCAGGGGCAGCGCATGGAGCCCCATGGCTACTCTGCCTAGGAGCCAGACCTGCTGCTGGCAGCTTCCAGGGGCAAAGCGCGGTGTCGGAACAGGTAGGAACTAGCCTGCCTTAGCTGGGCAGCACCGCTGACGGGACTTTTAACGACCCAGTGCCTTACATTCCGTGACCCAGTAATGGGTCACGACCCGCAGTTTGAAAACCACTGCTCTAGGGAATTGTCAGAACGGGCAAGATAAACATCACCCATTAGCTTGTGCCAAATGAATTGCTAGCACTGATTTTATTCTCTTAGACATGATTTTTTTATGTCAAGCAATCTAGAGTCCAGTACTGCTGCAGGGTGTGGTGATCAGAGTCCACTATGTGTAGAAACAGGAATAGATAAATCATGGCTCACAATGAAAGCTACTCATTCATTTTACCAAGCTCACCATGACACAAAAAATCCTAATGCATATGATCTGAAGGGTTTCTCTCTTATGTTGTGTCTGTGAGGAAGACAATTAGGGAAGAGGGCCTTAATAAAATTTAGATGACTTCTAAAGAACACATTTGTTTGTCTTTGGAAGACATCATTTTGTATGCACCATATTTGCAAAGTTCTTCTCCCCCAGTGGCTGCCCTGACTGTCAGGCCTGTTTCTCCACCAGCAAAGCTCCCTTCACACAGAGAGACAGAGCTCTGTCCTGTTGCCTCACCAGTCAAACGGGAACTACTACTATTTCTTGGGTTTTGTGGCATAACAGACTCATTTCTGAGTCTATGACCACCATCCACTGTATTTCATATCTTGTTCATAACTTGCACCAGTACTCTTAAAAAATTGCAGAAGAGCTTTTTATATTGGGCCGCATTTTCCTTGTATTCTTGATAAATGTTGCAAGGAAAATGTTGTTACTTTAAGACCTCTGAGTTTTCTATAGAAACACCTCCTTTCAGTGGTACAGTCTGTACAGTCACAAAGGATATGATCTATCATTTCCAAGCTATACCCATATTCCCTTCTAAGAAGTCTGTCACTGTCACACTGTGTGACCTTGGACAAGTGGCTTCATCTTTCTGACTCAGATTCCCAAATCTGTACAATGGGGATAATATTACTTATCCATCTATCTCACAGGGAGTTGTGAGGAATAAGTAGCAATATACCATACCATACTTTAAATGTGTGACACATTATATATATGCTATGTATTATTATTACTGAAAAGGAAAGGGGTTGGGTCTCTTTCTACAAGAGCATACAGATACATTCTAAATGCAAAAATGAATGTTAGGGGAAAGTAGGGCTGTCAAGCGATTAAAAAATTTAAATGCAGGATTAATCACATTGTTAAACAATAATAGAATACCATTTATTTAAATAGTTTTGGGTATTTTCTACATTTTCAAATATATTGATTTCAATTACAACACAATACAACATGTACAGTGCTCACTTTATATTATTATTTTTATTACAAATATTTGCACTGTAAAAATACAGCATTATCTCCCCTAAACAAACTTATTCGTCTGAGCGATTGGCTGAACAAGAAGTAGGACTGAGTGGACTTTAAGGATCTAAAGTTTTATATTGTTTTATTTTTAGTACAGTTATATAACAAATAAAATCTACATTTGTTAGTTACACTTTCATGATAAAGAGATTGCACTATCATACTTGTATAAGCTGAACTGAAAAATGCTATTTCTTTTGTTTATCATTTTACAGTGCAAATATATGTAATAAAAATAATAATATCAAGTGAGCACTGTACACTTTGTATTCTGTATTGTAATTGAAATCAATGTATTTGAAAATGTAGAAAAACATCCACAAATATTTAATAAATTTTAATTGGTATTCTATTGTTTAACATTGCAAATAAATGTGCGATTAATCACGATTAATTTTTTTGAGTTAATCACATGAGTTAACTGCAATTAATCAACAGCCCTAGTGAAAAGTTATGGTTGAAAATTAAGCACACAAAATTTAATAAATTTAAATATTAAGGGTCCTACATCAATCTTAGATTAGTACATCCTACTCATCAAAAAATACAACAGATATGTTAAAACAGTGTTATTTAGGTTGCAAAGGCAAGCCCTCAAAAGTAATGAAGTTTACAGTTGCCCATGCAACTTAATTTGGCCCTCTTGTGCGTATACATTATGATGTAGTCTTTAATTAAATTGATCACAAGCTATTTTTTCCACAGGACCCCTGCCTCCTGCAATGCACACATCAGATGCACTAGAGGCAGAATTAAAGTTGCACAAGCAACCATAAGTCTGTCATTTGTTAATTTTGGAGGGCTTGACTTCATAAGCTGAATAACTCTCCTTTAATATAATTCCTTTGTATGTAATTATGATACGCAAACACGCACATTTAACGTAAACAGTAAAGCCACCTCTGCTGGATTTTGAAAGTACAAATGAGGCAAGCAAAAAAAACCATGCCTAAGAGCAGGCATGGGAGTATAGTAGCTGTGACTCAGAGGCCCTTTTATGGTTCACTACTCTGTATCCGCAGCTCATCAGGCCTGCCATACTCATTACACCTCACACACTGGTGTCATGATATTTATTTAAAAGGTGACATAATATATTGTTTGAAATCTAATAACACACTGGTCATTTATGTGACTGTGAAATATTTGTAACAACTCTGTAGGTGAAATTATGGATCCCCTCTGATATTATGACCTGAAGACTGTAACAAAAAAGGTTTCTTCTATATAAAGAGGAAAGAAAATATGGTGGCAAATGCCCTGTTCAGGAAAGAGGGCTGTGACTTGTTGCCTCTGGGTCAGCCAGTGGCTTATCATCCTACAGCTCTGTAAGCCCCTAGCCCCCAGGAGAGAGGGATGCTCAACTAAGAAACTGTTAAGTACACTGGTGATGATGCAGTTATGAGCTGACTTCACTTTTTGCTTGGGAACATTTCTGGACTAAGCCCCTATTGCCCTTCTAAGGGGTTAAGACTGTAAGAGTGCTCGGTGGACACGGGGAACAGAACCTTTCTCCACCCACTGCTGGGGAGACTTGCAGCCACTTCAGGACACTGAAAAGGTCCATCAGGGGCACTACTCCAGCCATGCCATTACAAAATTGTTGGAGAATGCAGGTGACAGCCTACTCTCTGGGCAACGTCATGATCTACAGTCAGAGCTGGGAAGACTACCTAGAACATGTAAGTGCTGTACTACAACCCCTCAAGGTGGTCAGTCTGAGAGTGAACCCTGCTAAATATCACCTGGGCAAGAATGAGACTACCTACCTCAGGTACACACTGTAAAAAGACAAGATGCAAACCGTGGTGGCTAAGGTCCAGACCCTCCAGATGTGCTCCATGCCCAATTCAAAGAAACAGGTAAGCCACTTCTTAGGACTGGCAGGATACTACCAACGGTTTATTCCCAGATTTTTGACAATTATAGCCCCTGTTATGGATCGCCTTAACAATAATAGCCCAAAGAAGATCAAGTAGAAGAAGGCTTGTGACAAGGTCTTTCAAACCCTTAAGGCCCACCTCTGCCAAGAACCAGTCTTGTATAACCCTGAATTCACGAGAGAATTCCTGCTACAGTCTGATGCCTCTGATGTGGGATTAGAAACCATTTTATTCCAGGTGGTGGAAGGAAATGAACATCTTATCCTCTACCTTTGTTGAAAGTTATTTCCAAGGGAGAGGGTTCATCCTGTAATTTAAAAAAGAGAGGCATTGGCAGTGAAATGGGACTTGTTTTGGGTGGTCACGTCACCTTAGTCACCAACCATACCCCACTATGTTGGCTCTACCCCATGAAGGAAACCAACCTCCTAATTATGAGGTGGTACCTGTCCCTCTAGTCCTTCTCCTTCTGCATCCATCACATGGCTGGAAGAACCCACCTGAATGCTGATTTTTTTTTCATGAGGTGGGGAAGAACCAATGCGAGAGGGGCATACCATAAATGGTGTTGTGGGGGGATGTGTGATGGAGCAGGGAGGTCTCACACCAACAGAGGAGATGTTGAAGAGAGCCTTTGAGCCCCGCTAGCCCCACGCTGCTATACCTGCAGCCAATGACAAGCCTAGAGGCGGAATGAAAGGAGAGAACCTGGCTCAATTCAGGGCTGATGCCTAAGGACTGGAAACATGCAATTACTGTCCCAGTGAGAAAACGGAATAAGTTGTGCTCAAGACTTGAGGCATACAGAACAATTTCCATCACAGCATGTTTAGGTAAAACCATGGAAAGATTGGTAATGGAGAGATTATTAGCGCACCTAGCAAGAAATAGGTTCAGAGATGGAACACAGAGTGGGTTCAGAAGAGAGAGGAGTGCAATTGTCCACATTGTAAGGAAAGAGATAG